GGGGGGGGGGGAGACACAGCCTGGGTCCCTCCTCCTTTCTCAGGGGGGCTTTTGCTCCTGATGATTCTACAAGGTATCCAAACAAAAGATCCTCCGAATTACCCATACCCTGCCTTCCATCCTATACGTTGCCAGACTCCTCCCTTCCAGTGTGCAATTTCTGCCTGGCGAGATCTCTAACGAGGGGATCTGCTTTTTCTTCCAGTGCCCCTTTTCCTATGAGGAGGTGTCCATCTGTTTCACTGAGGCAGAGTGGGCCCTGCTGGATCCGGGACAAAGAGCTCTGCACAGGGAAGTCATGCTGGAGAACTATGGGAATGTGGCCTTTCTGGGTAAGGATCTTTCATAGGTGCCAAAGGTGTGAATTACTGTCATTGTGATGAGGAATGAGTCAAAATATTGAATAGCAATATACCGTTTTGAGGCCTGTCCCGCTACTTGGGGAGGGGCTGTGGCTCACTGGCATACAGAAGGTCCCAGTTTCAAACCTTGGCAGCATCTCCAGTTAAAAGGATCGGGTAGGAGGTGAGGTGAAAGACCTCTGCCTGAGACCCTGGAAAGTTGTGGTCAGACTGACTTCAATGGACCCAAGGGTATCATCCAGCAGAAGACAGCTTCCTGTGTTCATGTGTGTGTACATGCCCAGGGGCCACTGAGGCCAGTATTGTGGCCATCACCCAAGCCAGGAAAGGTGTCCTGGCTACGGTTTTGCGCTCTGTACGTACTCAGCCAAATAAAACCCCGAAAAATGCAGATTAGATTCATCTACCAATATAGCTAGCCCAAATAAAGGCCAAAAAAATTCAGCTTTTTTGGGGGTATCTAAGCAGCGTGAAGTTCACCCACTTTTGGGTGAGGACTTTGGAGCCAACCAGCCATTAAAACCGGTCAGTTTCCCTCCCCTTCGTTTCCAAGCTTGGAAGTGGGGGGGGCAGCTAAAGGGAGGGATTAGAATCATAGAATCACAGAGTAGGAGGGGACCTCCAGGGTCATCTAGTCCAAGCCCCCACACAGGGCAGGAAATTCACAAATACCTCCCCCCACACACACACCCAGTGACCCCGTTCTATGCCCAGAAGATGGCAAAACAACAACAACCAAAAAAACCCCTCCAGGATTCCTGGCCAAAATGGTCTGAAGAAAACCTGCTTCCTGACCCCAAAATGGCGATAAGCATTTCCCTGGCCGTGTAAGAAAGGGCCACGAGAACTAAGCACTGATGCAACCCTTCCTGCCCTCCCTCTCATGATCTGCCCAAATTCACAGCATCAGCATTACTGTCAGATGGGGCCATCTAGCCTCTGTCTGAAAACCTCCAAAGAAGGAGAGCCCACCACCTTCCGAGGAAGCCTGTTCCACTAAGGAACCAATCTAACTGTCAGGAAGTTCTCCCTAATGTTTAGCCAAAAACTCTTTTCATTTAATTTCAACCCGTTGGTTCTCGTTCAATCTTCTGGGGCAACAGAAAACAATTTCGCACCATCCTCTATGTGACAGCCCTTCACGCACTTGATGTTGATCATATCACCTCTCAGTTGTCTCCTATCCAGGCTAAACATACCCAGCTCCTTTAACCTTTCCTGATAGGACTTGTTCTCCAGAACCCTCACCATCTTTGTTGCCCTCATCTGGGCACGTTCCAGCTTGTCTGTATCCTTAAAATGTGGTGCCCAAAACTGAACACATCAATTAGTGTTTATTCTTCAGCCATCTCTAAAAAAGATCTTGGAAGTAAGCCTTTAGAAGATTTAATCTTCTTAATAGTTTTCCTTTCTAGGCCTTGATCAAAAACAGAATTAAAATCTCCAACCATACAAATATCCATGTAGTCATATTTTGTCATAGTTTCCTTCACTTTCAAAAAATTTCCCCTGCGATTCATTCGGTGCCTATATCACCACTAATAAAATTTTCCTGTCTCTAATATCTATTTCAATTAGAAGAAGTTTTCCATTTTCTAATGACGATACCAAAGCAGGTTTCAGTTTTTCTTTCACATAGACAACTATTCCTCTTTTCTTTACTTTGTCCGAAGCAGTAAATAACTTACCATGTTTGTTATTGACCAGATGTTCAACTTTACATCAAATATGTGTTTCCTGCAGACCTATAATATCCATATCTATCTTCTTAAGTTGTTTAAATATCTTTAGTCTTTTCTCAGGTGAATGTAGTCCATTTATATTTGCCGAAAATATCTTGATTGTTGATGAATCCATTATGATCGATTCTTATTACTACCATTTGTATTTGTGGCCTTCCTTCCATAGATGATTTTTTGGATGTACTAACCTGAAGTTCTTCATCCGAAGCTGTTCAGTAGGCCGATGCTTCCTCTTCTTTTTCTGTTGTTGAGCCTTTTGTTTTTGCCTTCTTTGTTTCTCCCCATTGTAGAAGATTTCCATAGCAATCCAAAAAGTCTTTTGCTTTAAAAATGGAGTCCAATCTGAATCTTTGACCTTCAAACGTGAAGAAAATTCCTCCTGGAATAAGCCATCGAAATGTAATTGAATTTTCTGTAAGTTTAGAAGTCAAAAATGCACATTTTCTTCTTTGTCTCATTTTCCAAGGAATTTCTCTTACAATCTTTATTTCCTTGTCTTGTATTCTAAGAGTATTATTCTGTGCTTCTTTCCACACACGATCTCTGACTGTCATCTTAGTAAATTTCACGTTTACTTCCCTTGGAAGATTATTCTTCCTTGCATAAGCAGAGTTAGCTCTATATAAGAAGTCAATTTCCCTCTCCATTTCTTCATCGACTCCCATGAAATACGCCAATCCTTCTGCCATAACTCTGATTAGCTCTTCTCCTTTTTGTCAGGCACATTCTGAAATCTAAGCACATCCATTTCCAGTTGGAGCAGCGAGTCCAAGACAGTCACCTGCTCTATGTCCATCCTGTCCACTCTCAATGATGTTGCTTCAGCTTTCTTGGCTGGCTGTGCCACCCCTGTTATTTCCTTCTTCTTTTCTATTAATTGTTTGTTGAAATCAGCCATTTTAGCTTTTACAGCTGAGTAATGTTTTGTTTGGGGCAATCATAAAGCCCTCTGGGTAAGGAGGGACCTTCTAGGGACCTGAAATCTGGAGGATCAGAAGCTCCTTCTGGGAAGAGCTCAGCTGTGGCTTTTGAGGAGTTGAAGTATCCTTAAATACTAGATCTAAATACGAGAGCCGGGTTTGATTCCCCACTCCTCCACTTGCACCTGACTGGATGATCTTGGGCAAGCCATAGCTCTGATAAAAGCTGTCCTTGAAAAAGAGCAGTTTCTTTCAGAGCCCCCTCAGCCCCACCTACCTCACACGGTGTCTGTTGTGGGGAGGGGAAGGAGTTTGTAAGCCGCTCTGAGACTCCTTTGGGTAGTGAAGGGCGGGGTATAAATCCAATTTCTTCTTCTAGATATTCTGGGGAGAGGTGGAGGGGTGCTTAATATTGGCCAAGCTGGACGAGGCCAAAGGACCATCAGTACTTTCCTACGGGAGTCACATAGATGCCTTGGACCTTACCAGCCCTCCCAGGTGCTAACAGGATCTCTCTCTTTACTCCAGCAGAGAATGAGCAGACAAATAAGGAGGGTGAGGAACTTCATCAGCAAATGTCAGATAGAGTTAAAAAGGAAGACTTCAAAGAAAAAAGGAATCTAGGCAGACCAAGGAGAAACAAAGGCGCCCATATGGTTGAGAAGAGAGATGGAAGAAAGCATAGTGTACTATTTACAAAGCACAGAATAATGAAGGCAAGTAAATCAATTCCATGTGGAAAGTATTTCAGAAGTAGATCACAGCTCTTTGTGGACCAAAGAATACACAGAGGTGAGAAACCTTTTGAATGTTCAGACTGTGGAAAGCAATTCTGTCAGAGTGGCAGTCTAAAACGACATCAAAGAACCCACACAGGGGAGAAATCTTTTGAATGCCCAGAGTGTGGGAAGAGATTCAGTGATAGTGGCAGTCTAAAACGGCATAAAAAAACCCATACAGGAGAGAAACCTTTTGAATGCTCAGAGTGTGGAAAGAGGTTCATAAGCAGTGGTAACCTTCAGTGGCATCAGACAACTCATACAGGGGAGAAACCTTTTGAATGCTCAGAGTGTGGAAAGAGGTTCATGAGCAGTGGTAACCTTCAGCGGCATCAGACAACTCACACAGGGGAGAAACCTTTTGAATGCTCAGAGTGTGGAAAGAAATTCAATCAGAGGGGCAATCTTCAACTGCACCAAAGAACCCACACAGCGGAGAAACCTTTTGAATGCTCAGAGTGTGGAAAGAGATTCAGACACAGTATCAGCCTTCAACGGCACCAAAGAACCCACACAGGGGAGAAACCTTTTGAATGCTCAGAGTGTGGAAAGAGGTTCATGAGGCGTGGTAACCTTCAGCGGCATCAGACAACTCACACAGGGGAGAAACCTTTTGAATGCACAGAGTGTGGAAAGAAATTCAATCAGAGGGGCAATCTTCAACTGCACCAAAGAACCCACACAGGGGAGAAACCTTTTGAATGCTCAGAGTGTGGAAAGAAGTTCAGTCGGAGTGGCAGTCTTCAACTGCACCAAAGAACCCACACAGGGGAGAAACCTTTTGAATGCTCAGACTGTGGAAAGAGATTCAGATTCAGTGACCATCTTCAACAGCATCGAAGAAACCACACGGGGGAGAAACCTTTTGAATGCTCAGAGTGTGGAAAGAAATTCAGTAGGAGTGCCAATCTTGAAGTGCACCAGAGAACTCACACAGGGGAGAAGCCTTTTGAATGCTCAGAGTGTAGAAAGAGGTTCGTTCAGAGTGGCCATCTTCAATTGCACCAAAGGATCCACACAGGGGAGAAACCTTTTGAGTGCTCAGAGTGTGGGAAAAGTTTCACTCAGCATGGAAATCTTTTACAGCATCTAAGAACTCACATGAGCAGAAACCATGTAACTGCTTAGCCTATGAAAAGAGCTTTACTTTTATTTCACAACAAAAAGGCAACCTTAGACCATATAAAGCATCAAAACTATATAAACTCTTGTAGAAAGCTTGAATCTACACAGAAATCTTACCTAACCAGAAAGAAATATTAAAAAAGCTTTAGCTTATTGAAGGAGTTTTAGTTATGTTTGAAGTCCTCAAATACATCCCACAGGGAAGAAAACAAGGATTGGCTCTCCTGACTGAAGGAGATTCAAGATCAGCTCATGTCTCCCTTAGCCCGGAGGAGTCACATAAGGGAGGGACCTCATACATGCTCACTGTGTGGCAACAGCATGAGGGACAGATCCCATTTTCCTGTTCTTCAGAGGATTGATACGAGGGTGAAACATTTCTATAGCTGGTTCTGATTAGGGTCTTCTTCAGATGCCCAGATTTTGGAGGTTCAGAATGCCTCAGAAAGTAGTTACACAAAAGAGGGCCGTGAGGTCCTGCTTATTGGGAGGACTGTTTCTCCTTTAAAACGCACTCTGTGAACATGAATTTAGTAGATTTCTGCTGCCACCAGGAATTCTCTCTCTCTCCTAGCCACACAGGCTACACTCTCTTGCTCATGGCCACACAGGCTAAACTCTTTCACTCATAGCCACACAGGCTAAACTCTCTTGCTCATAGCCACACAGGCTAAACTTCAACTGCCTCCTCTGCCAAACAGACTCTCTCAAGAACTCTCCACACTCATCTCTTCAAGAATACAGAATCACCTCAGAGACACCCCTCCTCTCAGATTCTCAGTAATCAGCCAATCACATCACACTTATCTCCCTCTATCACTCTTCTTACATTACTGCAGCCAAACTAAACATTTAAAGAAAGACATGAAAACATAAAATCATTTCAAGGGCCTTTTTAGTGGTTGCCCTCCTCGGTGAAAACTCGCTACTTCAGGTTATCTGCTGATCTAACTATTTCTGGCATATACAAAACTTCTAAAAACATTTCTTTTTCCAAATGCTGTGAGGAAATGGACAAGTTGAGGGTAACAGATATTTACAGTCTCTCTGTTACTGGCATAAACGTAGAATCACCAGCCAGCATCCTTAATTGACAAACATTTTTAGATGACAAGCATTTCCAGAGAGGCATGATACAACCCTAATCTCTCCCCAGTCCAGCCTGCTGTGAGCTTTTTTCGGTGTCACTATTTTGAAGCCCAAAGAGTTCTGGCAATAGGATTGTATAGAAATATTGCTTTCTAAATTCTCATGCCTTCTCCTGTGATGACATTCTGTATGACACGCTGTGTCTTTGCTTCCTGTTGCAGGCCAAATGGTGAGACCAGATGGCCTCAGCCACCTAATAGCCATGCCATATAACCATGCACGTTCTTTAACACCTCTATGTCAAGAACCAGACTTGAAGGCTCCACTCCTGGCTCACATGGGCCAAGTCACGTACACAATGAAGGAAGCTGGAGGTTGGGTCACCTGACTGCAGGTGGGGCCCCAAACACACACACCCGATGTTGGCAACCATGGCAACCAGCAATTGGGCACACACCCTACCACTCATGATTGGCTGATAGCCACAGCTAATTATGACTGGATTGGGGTATAATTCCATTGGTCTCTATGGGAGAGAGCTCTCTTCTCTCCTCCTGCTATTGCTTGCTTTATTGCATCCTGAGATGCTGACTTTTGAAAGAAAGAACAACCTTTTTGTTACTGTGAAGCTGTATCTCTGAACAGATCTGGGCTACATACTTGTGCAAGATGGGATTTCTCTTCAAAATCCCTTGGTGCCTACTTGGACTGTTATACCATGGACTATTTTGGACTATTGAAACCTAACTGGGTAACTATGATTCTCCTGAATGTGTATTAAGGGCAAATAGCCATAGCTTTTTATTATATTTTAGTATTCTCTAGTAGTCTGTTTGCTATGCTTTGTACTGAATAAAGATCATTCTTATTTGTAATTGTCTCGGATGATGTAATTGAACTCCAAGGCTAAATCTCGTGTCTAACGCTGACCACATAGAGCTACCACTGTGACTGTGATGTGTAAGTCCCAGATGCCAACTAAGGGATTGAATCTCTGCCCTTAGGCGAGGCGGGGACTCTTGTGAAGAGATTCTTGTGGCAACTGTTGTGAAGACCAGAGAGAGTACAGACTCTCTCATGGTTTGTTGTTTAATGTACTGAAATACTGGATTCCCTCGCACTCCTGGACTGGACTGAGTGGGTTAATCCTGTACAAGGATTTACTTGGGTCAAAAGGAAAAGCTTGTGTCCCCCAACCCAACATCTCCATAAGTTTTAAAGGGTCAGAGCCCCCCTCCCCCAATATCATCCAGAATTGTGGAAATTGACTGGTATCCATGGAGTTGGCAGGAGGGACACACACTCCCCAATCCCAGTTGTCCTCCCCACCCCACCCCCAGATTCTCTCAGGGACAATTAGGAAGGAGAGGTAAGATTCCCTCCTCCCGCTCTGGCACACACAAATACTCCCATCTCCGTGAGCCAGAAATGACCTGGAGTAAGCTCTGGGCCAAGGCTTATTCCTCACCTCTGACTCCTCAGAAGTCCCCTTGAATTCCTCCTTGGAGACTGTGTCTTTGTGCAGCAGGCTGAGAAATTTCATCTCACTAATTTGGAAAGCTAACTGCATCAAGGTTGCAAACAGGCTGGGGGGGAATCCTGTCTCTTTCCCAGAAACTTAGGCCCCTGCCACACGGCAGGGGAAAAGCCTCTAAAAGCGCGGCTTTGAAAAGACGTGCCAAAGTTGAGACGCCGCGGCGGGATCCCATGGATCCCCTGGCCACTGCGCCTTTTCAGAGCGGCTTACAAACTCCTTTCCCTTCCCCTCCCCACAACAGACACCCTGTGAGGTAGGTGGGGCTGAGAGAGCTCTGACAGAAACTGCTCTTTTTCAAGGACAGTTCTTATCAGAGCTACGGCTTGGCCAAGGTCATCCAGCCAGGTGCAAGTGGAGGAGTGGGGAATCAAACCCAGTTCGCCCAGATTAGAGTCCACGCACTTAAGCACTACACCAAACTGGAGAGACTTTTTTCCTCCAGTCAGTTGGCATCCCTTGATTAAATATTTCTTTAAGAATCAGAGTAAACAAAACTCAGGTAAGGCAGAGTCATAGCTCATTAAAGAGGTTATTATTTTTATCAGGTACATCAGACTGTGTTTTCTGTGCTTTGTGGGGGGGGTTATGTGTTGGGCTTCATTAAAGGTGTCAAAAGTTAGTGTGGCACGTCTTTTTTCAATTGTGCATAAAGTTTAAATAAATCCTCTTGGAGACGCTGGAGACTTGCACCTGGGGCCACAACTGATTCCCATGAATGAACCCGACCCAGTTTGCCCACATTCATGATGTGGGTTAGATAAGTTCAAGAGCCAGCGTGTTGTGTTACAACTTGGTGGATCTGGGTTCAAATCCACAGTAGGCCCTTTAACCTGTCACATTTCCAGGCTAACCGATCTTGCAAGATAGTTGTAAAGATTAAATATTGGGGGGGGGGGCCTTCTTGGAAGAGATGTGATAGGTGTAGAAATCTCGGTGCTTCTGTATTAATTTCCAAGTGGGAACCAGCAAGGACTTGTGGGATGCATCTCACTTCTCCACTACTTCATATTTCCCTTTCCTGAAAGACCCGATAGCGCCTCCTCTTTTCATGCTTCCTTCTTTCCTTCCCACCCCACAGCCAACCTATATTTTTCTGCCCCTGTGTTCAGCTTTCCCTCTCCACCATCTCCTACCTAGGAAACCTATGGCCCAGTTGTGTGAGGTAGGCTACTGGACCAGGCCAACCTACATGGTAGGGAACCTTCAAGGATTTGGAGGGGCACCTCACCCCCCACCCACCCATTTCCCTCTTTCCTTCCCCTTGGCAACCCCCATATCCTCTCCCCTTTCCCTGCCTTATTCTCTCCTTCTCAGCCATTCACCAACCAACCTACCTTTTATCTGTATCTCATCTGCAGCTATATTTATTCTTTATTTACTGCATTTATAACCTGTATTTCTACCCTTTCTGTCACGTCCTGGATGTATGCACCTGGTCGACATTCTGCCTCTTGAGACTACAAATCCGGATGGCACACTGTAGCCTCTGACTGAAGGAGCGGCAGACACATTTCTCTAGATCGCTGGGAAGGCGGGGCATGAGCAAAGAAACCTTAGCCCAAGTCTCTGTTGTTGGAAGAGGCCATCTGTGATTCCAGGAAAACTCCAGGCCCTGCCTGGAGGCTGGCAACCAGTCTTCCTTTGTCTTTCTGCACATTGTGAGCGATGTGACCAGAATCGAGGCCAAAGAACCCAATCTACTGAACCTTGGGACAGAGAAAGAACCTGCTGCCCTTTGCAGCAGGTCTTCCGCCCCCCCCCAACCCAAGCAGGCATCGTGGCGGTTCCTCCCCCATTGCATGTGGAGGAGATTACAGAGGAGACATCCAGGTTGGCTTTCCACCGCTGCCTGAGAGGGGGTGAAATAAGGATGGAGGGAAACTCTTTCCATATTCCTTCCCCCTCCCCTCCGAGGGATGCCAAAAAAAACCCCGCTCTCCATGCATTTAGGAGGTGGGAATAACACGAAGAGCTAGGATAGGACCATTTGGGCCAAGGAGGAGGTGGGAGAGTCCAGGCCTGAACTGGGCGACTACAACTGTTTCTTTGTATCTCTGGAAAAATCCCCACACATAGAAAACCAGCACTGCAAGGCAAAAATTTATTTCTGCCCAGGGTCTTGTAGGCAGCCAGATGGGGGCCTTGTCTCTTCCATACAGCCCCTGGCACTCTGGTTCGTGATCTCTGGGGGCCTGGAGGGAACCATCAC